TGGCTGCACATTAGAATCACCTGGGAATCTTTTTAAAATCCTGATTCCTGGGCCTCATCCTCCGGAAATTCTGTTGTTTTTTTGTTACTAATGTTGTGGCCCCACCCCATAACAAAGAAACAGAATTTCCAGAGGATGAGGCCCAGAAATCAGGATTTTAAAAAGATTCCCAAGTGATTCTAATGTACAGCCAAGGTTGAGAACCACTGACTTAGAGTCATTAGAATCAGTGGCATTTGGTAGGTTCCTTCTTTCAATAACTAGGTAATAATCAGGTATTAAACTCAGTTTCTCTATGCTCAAAGACTACATATGCTGTCAACATGTAGTGTGATAAATGCTGTAAGTCTGGCCTATTATTTTGTATTTTAGCACTCGACATTTCAGTGCCCAGGGATACAGCCTAGCTTACCTACACTCTCAATCTACAATATACACCTTTATTTACCAATTAAAAGTATTTCCTCTCATTAAGAGGACTAATTAATCTTTATTATTTGTATTAAGTAATTATCAAAATTATTTAAATCTGTTCCTCCGTGAAGGGCACCTGTTACTTACTCCCTGTATTATATTTGTGAGCTTTTGTTTTATCTTCCCTTCTACATTCTTTAAAGATATGATCCATATCTATTCCATCTTTGTATTTCCCACAGGTTTTCAAACAGTGCCTTGTATATAGACGGCACTTAAAGTATAAGTTAAGGTTTTCTTTCCCACTTTCAGTGAAGGCTGGCTCTCCGCATTCTGCTGTAGCTTAGGATATTTTCTTCTAAAAGCCTTCCCTGACTATCCCAGTCCACAGGTCACTCTTACTTTTGAAATCCCAAAAGAGCTGTCTGTAAACCATTTAATTGCCACTAAAACTACTCAGCATTATCTTTTCATGTTTATATGTATTTTATAATCTTTTTATATTTCAGTACATTCCAACACTATCTAGGCACAGCATAGACAATCAATCTTTTAAAAACATGAATCAAGAGATTCATTAAGGGCCTAGCCGGTTTGGCTCAGTGGACAGAGCATTGGCCTGTGTCTGTAAACCATTTAATTGCCACTAAAACTACTCAGCATTATCTTTTCATGTTTATATGTATTTTATAATCTTTTTATATTTCAGTACATTCCAACACTATCTAGGCACAGCATAGACAATCAATCTTTTAAAAACATGAATCAAGAGATTCATTAAGGGCCTAGCCGGTTTGGCTCAGTGGACAGAGCATTGGCCTGTGGACCAAAGGGTCCCAGGTTCAATTCCGATCAAGGGCACATGCCCGGGTTGCAGGCTTGATCCCCAGAGGAGGCATGCAGGAGGCAGCCGATCAATGATTCTCTCCTATCATTGATGTTTCTATCTCTCTCTCCCTCTCCCTTCTCTCTGAAATCAATAAAAATACATTTTAAAAAGAGAGAGAGAGAGATTCATTAAGAAGAGTATACGCAAAACTGGCACCTAAAGAGAACAAAAGATCTCATCCATGGCAATGAAAAACAAACTCCTATTGTTGAAGGGCCAAAGGCTTTGACACACATCATAGTTACTAGTAAATTAAATTGTGTTAGAATTCTACAAGAGTCTCTGAATTTCATAAATCTTCCTTTCACTTTAGGGAGACATACGTGCAACCACATGCATTTACTGACAATACCAATGAAAGCAAATGACTTTAAACAAAAACAAATAACTATATTAAACAGATAGGGATAACATTCTTTTGTAATTTAGTTAATTTTCTCTGCTGAAGACATTTATATAGTTTGCAATATATATCATTTTACTGTATGCTAAGCCTTAGTTCTTTTATTTCTATTAGGTTCCCTCCTCCCTAATGGACTAAAAGCAGAAAAGCAACCTTTGAATCTTCACTTCTTTTGTATCCTTCCACAGTGAGGAACTATATTATAGAAGGCATTTTATAAATACTGCTAAAGGCACATCTTTATGTTAATTAATGGGATATCACAGATCTGGTACACCTGAATATATATATATCTATAATCTCCAAATCCTACAATAAGAGAGGTGGTTCTCTAATTTCAATCAAAACACTCTAGAGCAGTGATTCTCAACCTTTTCATCCCATGGCAAACAAACTAATTACTGAAATTCTGCAGCACACCAAAAAATATACGATCTGACAAAAAAAAGGTATGATTTTGATTCAGTCACACTGGACAGCTATTGTTATGTTGGCTGTTGTCATTTTTTAATTTGACAATCTAAGGGAAAAGAGGTCAGTGCCCCTGACTAGTCAGGTATTGCATGTTTTAAAAATTCTTGCGGCACACCGGTTAAAAGTTGCTGCTCTTGACTCTTGCTACTCAAAGTGTGGTTCAAAGACCAGCAGCCCTGATGTCACCTGGGAGCTCATTCTGAGGCTGAATCCTCAAGCCCTACTGGAGGCTTTCTAAATCAGAATCTGGTGATCTGTAAGCACTTCAAGGCTTGAGAAGCACTGGCTTAGACTCCAGGGGAAGAATGAGAATGTCCAAGATGCATATGATCAAGTAATGCTAACTACCACGTGACTGCTTATTTGTTAGTCTTCCTTATCTGTTAACTGAGGCTTTTTGAGGGCAAGAACCCTTTCCTTTCTTCCTCACCAATAGTATCCCCTGGGCTGACAAGCCCTGAAACATTATCCAGTGCTCAATAAAATCTCTTGTGTTGTTGGCTTTTTAAAATCCTCACCTGAGGATATATTTTCATTGATTTTACAGTGGGGAGGGAGGGAAGAAGGGATGGAGGGAAAAAAGAGAGAGAGAGAGAGAGAGAGAGAGAGAGAGAGAGAGAGAGAGATGCTAGAGATGGGGAATCCGACCAACAACCTAGGTATGTGCCCTGACTGGGAATGAACCTTCAGGTGGATGCTCCAACCAATGGAGCCACCTGGCCAGGGCTCAATAAATATTTTTTTTTGCGGAATGCATGAATGACTGAACAACTGAAAATAAAACTTTTTCATAAAGCTAACCTTTTAGGAAATTATTTGTACAACATGATTTCACACACTACCAGACTAATTATTTAATTCAGTATTATTAATTCCACTTTGAATGTTGCTTCTCGATGTCAACAGATGCATTGAATGTGTTCGACAAAGCAAAAGCTTGGATCATCTTCCTTTGTTGGAGCCACCAGGGACCTTTTTTTTTTTTTTTACAAGTGAGATAGCTACGTTTTAATTCTGCTCTCTCAGATCCATCCCACAAGAATGCATAAGATGAAATCACCGCAAAACTTGGCGGGGGTGGGGAGAATAGAGGAGGAATGGGTAACACCAAAACAATTCTGTATCAAAGCATCATATAAAACCTGGAGTCAGGTATTGCATGTTTTAAAAATTCTTGCGGCACACCGGTTAAAAGTTGCTGCTCTTGACTCTTGCTACTCAAAGTGTGGTTCAAAGACCAGCAGCCCTGATGTCACCTGGGAGCTCATTCTGAGGCTGAATCCTCAAGCCCTACTGGAGGCTTTCTAAATCAGAATCTGGTGATCTGTAAGCACTTCAAGGCTTGAGAAGCACTGCTTTAGACTCCAGGGGAAGAATGAGAATGTCCAAGATGCATATGATCAACTATCACGTGACTGCTTATTTGTTAGTCTTCCTTATCTGTTAACTGAGGCTTTTTGAGGGCAAGAACCCTTTCCTTTCTTCCTCACCAATAGTATCCCCTGGGCTGACAAGCCCTGAAACATTATCCAGTGCTCAATAAAATCTCTTGTGTTGTTGGCTTTTTAAAATCCTCACCTGAGGATATATTTTCATTGATTTTACAGTGGGGAGGGAGGGAAGAAGGGATGGAGGGAAAGAGGAAAGAGAGAGAGAGAGAGAGAGAGAGAGAGAGAGAGAGAGAGAGAGATGCTAGAGATGGGGAATCCGACCAACAACCTAGGTATGTGCCCTGCCTGGGAATGAACCTTCAGGAGGATGCTCCAACCAATGGAGCCACCTGGCCAGGGCTCAATAAATATTTCTTTTGCTGAATGCATGAATGACTGAACAACTGAAAATAAAACTTTTTCATAAAGCTAATCTTTTAGGAAATTATTTGTACAACATGATTTCACACACTACCAGACTAATTATTTAATTCAGTATTATTAATTCCACTTTGAATGTTGCTTCTCGATGTCAACAGATGCATTGAATGTGTTCGACAAAGCAAAAGCTTGGATCATCTTCCTTTGTTGGAGCCACCAGGGACCTTTTTTTTACGAGTGAGATAGCTACGTTTTAATTCTGCTCTCACAGATCCATCCCACAAGAATGCATAAGATGAAATCACCGCAAAACTTGGCGGGGGTGGGGGGAATAGAGGAGAAATGGGTAACACAAAAACAATTCTGTATCAAAGCATCATATAAAACCTGGAAAACATGATTTTTTTAAAAACAGGATACTTCCAGGAAATAATTCCCGGCAAGGGAAAGAAGGAGGTAAGAGAACTCTTACCTTTCTCAAGAGCAAAAGGTGATACTAAATACCAGGGAGTGATAAAAGATCAGCGACTACCTAGCGACGGAAGGTGGAAACACAGCAGACCAGAACTAACGCGGATAGCGGTTAGAAACGTCCAAGAAGGGTGACAAAAACCACTTTCAGGTTTAGAGAAGGAAATCAAGGGAAAGGAAAGCTCTAGGACGGATACAACTGACGACGATGATGATTCATTATTATTAACATGAGTTATTATTATTGAGAGAGAAACGACATGCACTTGAAGGGAGGGGGTGGAAGGAAGAAAGGGAGGTTGCGATTGCGCTCACTGTAAAAGGAAGCGACGACAGGCGCCCCTGCCCAGCCCAGACGGTCCCGGGGAGCCGGCCCAGGCATAGGTGGGTGGCAACGCCCGGCTCCGCGGCTCCCTCCCGGTGGCCTGAGCCATCGCCTCTGCAGCTGCCGAGCACCAGGTGGGGACAAGCAGCAGCAGACGGTGTGCGGGAGGGCGTGCGGGAAGCAGGGGAGGATGCCGGCTGCCCAGGTACCCACCTTATCCCAGCGGAGCCACTGCCCGATGGCCGTGTCTAGCTGAGGGTCCCCGGTGCGGTAGGGGGCGTGGAGCAGGTTGGAGTTCAGGTCCCCCGCTGCGTTCTCAGCCATGGCTGGCAGGCTGGGGTGCGCGGATCAGGGGGGCCGATGAAGTCGCCTCGTTGGGGGAGCCGGAGGTGCGCTCACCAGGGTCCCAACGCCCCCTCCTCACTGAAGGGCATCGGAGACCAACGGCAGGATGTTTGCACCAGCTGCTGCCGCAGCTTTGAGACGCAGGAGAGAGGAGGCTGCGGCCGCCCGCGCTTCACCACACCAGCTCCCCGTCTCCCTCTGGGCGAACCGACAGAGGCGGTCGCGCCGGGAGAGAACAACAACAGTCCCCGATGTCTGGGTTTTGGCCAC